GATAAAAAAAGTTTCTATATAAATAACCACAAATTAACATAATATATGGAGGAAGCAATAACGATAAAAAGGAATACCAAATAAGCAAATCAAAACAATTAAGGAACTTAGGAGGTATTCCAAACTAAATAATATGATTTATAATTTCCTTAATTGTCTAGGGCTAAACTAGTTAAATTAGCGAAATAAATAGTAAAAATACTAGGATAATTTATAAAACTATGAAAGAAATAATAAATAAAAAAGCCCCTAAGGCTCTAAACAATATAAAATAATCATGCCATATACATCTTGAACACAGTATTGTAATTACTGTTGCGGTTATAGACGTGCTTGAATTGGTGACCATAGGCGATGTTATAGTTGTAATAATTGAACTATGACTTGTGGTCATGGTTGTCATGGATGTTGCGGTGACCATGGAACTTCTGAAGCATTAAGGGAAGCCAATCAAAGGAACAGTACTTTGAATTCAGAAAAGACTCAATTACAAGGAGATTTATTGAACAAAACCAAAGAGATAGGTGAAAAAGATAAGCAAGTTGCTGTTGTTGGTAAAGATTTGGAACATGCTCGAGGTCAATTGACTAAAACAGAAGGGGAGTTAAAAACAGAAAAAGAAAAAGTGAAAGAGTTAACTGGTTTATTTGACAATTTACAAATTGAAGGTAGCAATAAGGATAGGCAAATAGAAATCCAAAGCAAAGATATTAGAGTTCTAAAAACAGAATTGAACAAGATGGAAGAAAAAAGTTTAGAACTTGAACTGAAGGAGCAAGAAAGGAAACTAAATGAGTTTATTCAGAAATTAGGTATTGGTCGTGAAAAACCCCGTGAATTACAAAAAGCCTATCGGCAGTTAATTAGGGCTCGTGAAGATTATAATCAAAATAATATTGATGAGGCAGATGACAAAATTGAAGATATTAAAGATGAATTATTAAGTAGTGGTTGAATGCAGAGGGGAGTGAGTGCGGAAAATATTCAAAAACTTTGCAGTAGATGCAAAAGGATTGCTGAAATAAAAGTAGCGCAAGGAAAAGTCCAAGAGCAAAGATGAGTGCAACAAAGACAAGTGACTCAAGGCCAGCAAGAACAAGAGCAACCTCAATACGAAGCACAGCAGGAAGTTCCTCCACACAATAATAATTAGTTAAAATTAAAAAAACATTTATTATATAAAAACTATGAATGCATACGAAATATTAGGAGTTAGCCCTGGTGCTACCCAAGAAGAAATAACAAAAGCTTATAGAAAATTGGCTTTTAAATATCACCCCGACCGAAATCGGGGCAATGAAGAGTGAGCGAAGCAAAAGTTTATAGAAGTGGGTGAAGCGTATCAAAGTTTAATGAATTCGTCGTCGGCAACTTCGGGAATGCCGGGGAAAAAATTTCAATTCTCCAACAAACCTGACTCAAATAAATTTAAAGAGTTTGAGGAGATGTTAAAGGAAGTAACGAGAAACCTTGATAAAATAGGAGAAGACCTTAATGAACAAAGAGAAAGTCTTAATCGAGAACAGGAAAAATTGTGAAATGAAGCCATACGGAACATGGAAGAAAACTTAACTTTAGCCGGTGTATCTGTTTCCGATTTAGACTCTAGTTTATGGTCTCCTTATGGTGATTGGAAAGAAAAAGTTAAAAACTCTTTTGCCAGTAGTTTAGATGTTTTTTTAAGTAATATGAGAATTGCGATTAATAATGCGGAGTGAGAGAAAAAGAAAAATAATAGCGGATTCGGGCAAGGAGGTTATTCTCATGATGATTATTCACGACAAAACTGACAAAATCCCCAGCAACCAAGGGGAAATTATGGTAATCCTCAATCTAATTTTCCGAATAGAAACTTTTCTCCGAACAATAGTGGAAA